AACCTCTTTCCCCCAGCCCCACTTCAGCTTTGGCAGCAAAGATTGATGAAGATCAGAGACCTGCAACACCAGCTGGTAAACAAAAAACCCACAACAAAGAGGAGACTGAGCATTCCAATTCCAAGATCATATTTTCAAGTTCAAAAACTCAAAGACTTCCCTTCTCTAGATTGATATGGTTGGTGCCACTATCAGCCAGGTCTCATCTCATCCTAAGCTTCTGTTCTAAATAAAAACCTTCTAATATTCATGCAGGGATGCATCAGTAGACTAGAAGGGGTTTCAAATATACCTGAAATACCAACAGTCTAAAGAAGCAATCCTCACAAAAAAACCCCAACCCTGAAGGTTTAAACAATAGGCCTCCTTACAAGAAACATGATATTGACATACATGCATTTCTGGAATTTGCTGAGTTTTCTCTCTTTGCTGAGACAAGGGAAAAAAAAAGGAAAACCTCATATAAGGGTAAGACAGTTGGAAACAGAAGTGTTAGGATCTTTTCCTTTTAAATTAAATTATCCAATGTAGAGTTCCAAGAAAAGGAAACAGCTTTAAGTTATTACTTGCTTCAAGGCTAAGAGTTGGACAATAATGCACGTTTGAAAGTGAGGGACCAAGCTGAAAATGTAGTTCTGGTCCTCAGGTTCCTTTTCCCATGGAACTTATGTCTAAATTAAGCACAGGATTTGCTATTTGACTGAGGAATAAAACTCTGAAGAGATCCTTCCCTTTCAGGCAGAAAGTGCAGAGAATACAAACCATACAATAGATTCAAACAGCTTAAGGGGCTTCATGGTACATTATTTGTTAATAAAGACTGAGAAATGGAAGAGAAGGAAAGAGTAAATCCCTCAGTTATTGCAGTATGAATAGAGGTGGAAACACTTATTCAGAACCTGTGAGTAGATGAAAAGTCTTTTTACCACAATTGCTGTGAGTTCTGCAGGCACAAACATGTTATTTTGTAGGTGAGAGTATTAAACATTAGATGTCACAAACTGCATATTTCAAATCCAAGCAGAATGCAATGAAATCTTGATTGTCTTTAACTGTTTGAATTAGGCTAGACAAATCTTTTGCCCAATCTACCACACTGGCTGAAAGATCACAATGTATCACCCTATTTTAGAGGCAGAAAATAGAAAAATGTATCTACAAAGTATTTTAAAAAGTATGGGTTATACTACCCTTCAGAGAGCTGGGTGGAGTCACCCTCCCCAAAAGACCTATTTAAGGCAGGTAACCTTTGAAATGCTGGGAATACAGAGCTCATCTGCACTTCAGAATGAAAACACTACAGTCCTCCCAAGAACTCATTTCTACTGGATTCTGGGTAACTGTGAAAGGAAGGAGAAGGAAGGACAGGGGAACTGAGGAATCCAAAACCCATCTGTAGCCTCCTAGCCCATGATGTCCTGCTGGGAATAATTAATGAATCATGTGTTTATTAATGACTTACACAAAATATTCTCAGGGATACATCAGCACAGACACACTACCCAGAACATCAGTGCCACCAGTAAAAATCAGCAATAATTTCTCATGTAAATAAAGGGACATGAATGTTGTACTGCATACAGTTTTTCACAAGATGTTTCTAGCATTATTAAAATCCATCTATGTGTATGTTCTTACAGAAATGTTCCCAGCATTAACTTCATTGCAACAATTTAGACAAAAGATCTGAGAGTGTTTTATTGGAAATGCCTTTCAGAGGAACAGATAATTGTCATGAAAATAAAATGTTGCTATACTACAGCCTGTTTTCCACGTCTTATTTTTGCAAGAACTTTTTTTTAACATCAGTAAAGTTCCTACCTGTGTATTTTACTAAGTGCACTAAACTGCACTTGTTACCATTACCAAGATAGTGAAATGACAGAAATTCACACAGGCATAAGCAACTGGTGCAAAATCAGGACTACAGCACCTCTACCTCAAGAGAAAAGCCAGGCAGCAGCTGGGCTGTGGAGAAGCAATGACACTCAATGCTACTTCCTCCACCTACAAGTTCTTCCAAGATGATTCACTTGAATTATTTAAAGATGATTCCCCAAGGAAACAAGATTTTAATCCTATTTATTTCTTTAGGGTATTAAAAAAGGAGCCTGATAAATCTGCATGTACTGTTAACAAAATGTCCAAACTCCCCCTCCTGTGCCCTGGAAAGCCATGGTGGTGAAAACGACAGCCAAAGCAACATTAAGTAGTGAAAAACTGGCCAGTAAAAATGGACTTGAAGATTGGAGAAATGAGACTCAGAACCTCTGGCACAAGGTATGAAGTACCCTGGAGGGTGTCCTGTTCATCTTCACTTTGAGGAATTAAATAAGTTAATAAGTGTATCTCATGCAGCCCATGCATTCACAGGTTAAACTACTGGAAAAAGTGTAGCCTATTCCAGACAGCTGAAAGAACTCCAGGAAAGCCCTCAGAATTCATCTTCTATAATTTACCACATTCATTGTTTTTCCAATACTCTTCAGAAGGTAAGTCTAGAATTGCTGCTTCAGGCCACTTTTAAGGGAACCATTTCAATAAACAATAGGAATAAATATTAGTTTGCTCCAGTGCAAACAAAAGCATCTGCAATAAGTCTATGGAATCCTGCCTTTCTTATACCAGCAAAGCTTATCCCAGTAACTTTAATGCTCTCTACAGAATTACTTCAAAAGCATTCCTTAACATTAGAATCTTCAAATCTGTTTTTAAAAATATGTTCCTTAACTTGTTGAAAAATCATAATGAACAATAATATATTGACATATCCCTGAGAGTGCTGATATTTTTAATTAATACAGCTGACTGTAAACTGATAGTTACATTTGATTTTTATAATTCTGTGTGACAACTTAACACTTAACATGTGAAGTGAAACTCTGGACCTAAAAGACACTGCAGAATTCCTTCAACTTCACAGCACCAATATTATCCAGAATAGATGTATGATGTGTGAAAGTAGGAAATAAAAATAACTTCCTAGCATTGTATTTGATATGAGCAATGCATATAAAATCCTTTTGACATAGTGGCACCAAACTTTTAATTTTCAGATCACTAACTTGATGGCAATGGCATTAATATTTACACAATTGGAAGGCTGTAGTCAGCAAAGTATTGCAAGTCACACTTTTAATAATGTAAAAGCAGAATCCACATGAAGAAGCCAAAAGCTGAAGATGAGTGTCCTAAAGCCATAAGCACTAACCTCCAAATAAAAGAGTGAAAGCTTTTATTTTCTACCAAGAAAATGATGTTACCCATCAGCTCTTTCAAATAACTCTTCTGACCATATTTAAAACCAGTCCTAGAGACCAAATGAAATGTGTATATTCAGAGACATCCTCCCAACAATCAGGGGTTTGTGTATTATTTTGCCTTGGTGGGGGGGATTTTTTTGCTAGTGTTCTCTGGGTTCAGGTTGGGGTCTGGTGTTTATTTGCTTATCTGACAGCAGAAACAAGGAATAATCTGTCCTATTCAATTTTATCCAACGATGCTAAAGTCTTCAAACCACTTCCAACTTACACAAAAGGTGAAGTGCATTGTGGTTAGATGATACAAGAAGAAGCAAATGTATTCTTTAAAGAATTATGTGCAAACTAAAAATTGAATATTGAGATGTATACACTAAGAAACTATAAGATAATTTTATCTGAAGTAACAAAAGAAAACGTAGTGCAAATTCTGCTCTCTATAGCCTGAATTAAATCCTTTTCTCCTTTTTCTTTACACAGAACACTGAAAGAATGTAGATGTGGAGGGATTTTTATAATCATGACAACTCTGCATGGAGGCAATCCCTATTTCCTCCACATGGTTAGTACTGCCTAGGTGAGGATACAGAATATATTTAAGGCAGAATGATTTCTTTGTAAAGCATCAAGCAAAGCAGACCCAAATCTGCTTGAGGCCTTCCAGAGTAACAGTAAATAATATAACCTAGAAATTTGTTTGCCAGACAAAGAACACACCTACCATAGTGTCTATGGACACATGCTGTTAAAGTATCATCACTGCAAGAATGCTGAAGCTCAATGTCTTTGCAAAGTAGTGGTGTTTAAAAGTAACATGCTTGTAAAACAAGAGGAGATCTTAAGAGTCAAAAGTAACAGGGAGAGCTCTACTTCATAAAATACGGAATGCAGGTCCAAGTTGGAGGCATGATTTAAAAAAAAAAAAAAATCCTTAATTTAGGAAAGCACTGAGCAAGCTCACACACCTAGAACTGAAAGCCCATGTTTTTATTCCATACCTTCTTTGAATATTATCTGCACATCTACAGCCCTCAGTTTCATAGTAGCCTTTTAATATATTCTCTTATTAAATTATATACCTTGGACATCTCTGCAAAAAAGGAACAGCTGTCAGAAGCTACTGATACTGCTCATTAGGACTGCAGCAAGAGAAGGAGAAAGGCTCAAGAAGGCCAGTGAAAGGCACCAGAATTTAGTGTACACAGATGTTGGACAGAAACTTGAACCACAGCTAGGATTATTTGCCTGTGCTATAAATGATGTGATCAAAATTCACCTGTTTTCTCTACTTAAATATTCTCTTCCTCTTAAGGAATGAGAAATAACCACCTTGCCTCTGAAGAAATCAGAGTGGAAGGTACACCCCTGAAAGAATGGAATCGTCTGCATGGAGATGCATGTTCTGAAATAACATCAGTCACAAAGATTAAGCTTTGGAGAAAGATAAATGGATTCCTGATCCAGAAACAGCTGTTTTTACCTACTTAGGAGCAGTAAAATGTCCTTCTATTCACCTCCATTGTTTATAGCTCAAGTGGAGAGTATACAATGTAATGCCATTGTGAACTGCAGCCTCTCTGAATAGAAGACACCTATAGCAGCAGCCAAACAAAAACTTGTTTGGAGCATTAAGACAAAAATTGTAGACAAGCTGATACTTCTGTATTGTGAACACCTAGTAAAAAAAAAAAAGATTTCCCCCTCTTGAAATACCCCAATCAGTACTTTTGGTACACATACCTCGAAGAATTCTCTCCTCATGGCAACGTAGAAAGTCCCAGATTCTAACAGTGCCGTCGTCAGAGCATGTAGCAAATTTATTATCCGTGGGTGAGAAACTGTTACATGAAGACACACAGCAGGGGAAAGAAGTCAGCATTTAACAGATTATCTATGCTTCTCAGACAGGGCAAAATTATACTGTAATGTGTTATACACTGAAGGAGGCATTTGAACATAGGCACTTCTAAGTGAATACAGTGCCTGCCAAACGGCACTTCACAAGACATGAATTTAGTATAGGATTACTATTACATTGCAGTCCCCTGTCAAATGAGGAAAAAAATCTGTCATTTATTCTTAGCACCTTCCTATCTGTGACTGCACACAGCAGTGCCTTCTCTGCAGGATGAGAAGAAACATCAATATGGTTTGGTAACTGTTAGCCTAGTTTTTCATGTTTGGTAATACCACAAGAAAGTGACACTGCATAGGAGCACAGGAGAACAGTTCTTAGGAAAAAACTCCTCTTCAGCCACAGGTGCTTTGCAGCAGAGAAGCAAAAAACAAGGGAAAGCTGGTTACAGGAAAATGCTACTTGGTTTAACTGTTGGAAAAAAAAACTATATAAAACAAACATACCACTTATAAGAGCAATTTGGAAACACTCCCTCTTATTACACCCCACCAACAACATGAAAAGAATCCTACAGACACATAAGCAGCTTCCAGATTCAGCAGTTAACATTGATTGATGAAAGTCACTGGAAAAGCAAGGAGTTATTTAACCACGTGAATAGGGCCAGAACACCTCCAACAACTGACAGGCACTCAACTTTCTTTCTGGTGCAGTGAAAGAACATGAGGGAGCCCTTGTGAAATCCTAGATCTTTATGATCAAGAAAGGGCCTAAAGCAGCAGAGAAATTCAGTGCATGGCCATGATAGTCAGACAGTAACTGAATCCAAAGTAAGTACTTCTCTTAACCAAACTCTGGCAGAAAATGCTGCACCCTACCAAGAAAAATGGTGACTTTAGGGGAAAGTGAGTTGTGGCAGTGAACCTTTATCACCAAGGGCCAGCACCTGAACCCAAAGAAACACTGTTTTAGCGCCATTTGGGATCTGCAGCTTCTCTTCAGGCTTACTTTAAAAACATTCACTAAAAATTATATGCAAGTTTGCTCTAGAAACACCCTCCATTTACACCTTACTGATAAGTATCACTTTAGATTTGATTTTTATATAGACAGTTGCACAACTGAGGCATCAACACTGAACCAAGAGAATATCCTACAATCTTCTTTTCAATGGCTTTCTTACAGTTTCAAGCTTGAAGAACCCATTCAGTATTAACATTAGACTTCTGTATGTGGCAGTCTGCGTGGGTATTTAGTATTACTGGAAGTCCTGGCTTCACCAAGCCAAGCAGTTCTTCACTTTATTTAGTGTTTTATTATTTTGTGAGAACTATGCAGGTGTTTTATTTCTGAAGGCTTTATATTTTTATTCAGTTAGATTATTAAAGACTGAATTCTTTATTTGGAATGAAATTGTTGTCTTACACAGTGCGTATAAAAAGGAATAACTGATACACATTGTCACCATATAAAAATGAAAAGAATACCAGTGCAAAATGCGGCAGACAAATACATCTCTAACATATTGCAGAGGCGGATACTGGGACAATACTAATTCAGAAAGGTGCCAGCAAAACGGTGAGAATGTGGAAACAAAAGGAAATACTGTGTTTATGTGGTGCAGGAAGTTTCCCAGAATCTGACAGAACCCATGCATTTCTGCACCCAGAATACACTTAGAGAACAGTCTAATCATGGCAATAGGTACTACAGAAAATGGTATATTGTGTATAAACCTGGCCTCTCTAATCGCCTCCTTATGTGCCTGGAACATCTTGACGTTGTTCATGTTGGACTGCCAGTATTTCACATATCCCCCGTGGTCTGCTGTCAGCATCCACATATCATTGTGTGACCAAGTCATAGCCCTTACAGGGCTGTCGTGAGCCTGCAAATTCAGAAACAGAACTTCTAGCAAACACATTCAAATACTGTCTGATCCACACAAACACTGAAGTTATGACTTAACAGCTGCAATGAGGAAATGAGATGATCTAATTACATTCAAGATGTTGGGAGAAAAAAATCCCTTAACCTGAATACAATGTCCTTCTAAATAATAAAGAGTATTTGCACTTTGTTTCCAAAGTGTTTCTTTATTATTACAAATACTCATGGTACATTCTTGAGAACAGTTAATATAGCAGATGGAGGTGGAATGAGAAGCATTTAAGTGAATTGCCTGAAGCCATGGCCTGATATGGGATCAGAGCAGAATAAAAGATCTCTAAGGCTCCCATCACCACTCAGACCACAGACCATGATAAACAGTGTGAAGATGTGTTCCTAAGACATGCTCCAAAACCTCAAGGAAATACAAAGAACTCTTGACAGATTACTTTACCTGCAATATCGTTTCAAAATTGAAAGTCAGTCCATTCCATAAAGTGAACTCCCCACTAGATGCACCAGTGACCAAGCGTCTCCCCTCAGGAGTCCACTGCAAAAGAAACATTTAACTAAACTGTGCAAATATAACATTCAAATATTTCTTCACAGTTCTCCAAACAAATCATGAGCTTCTTCAAGGACTTTGTGGAAATGGAAGCTACTAAATGACATTCTAGAGGATGCAAGAAGGCAAAAATGCAGAACTGTGCCAGAAGACTTTTGTAATAATAAGACAAAGCCTGCTGTAAAAACAACTAAAAACTCTAGTTGTAAAGAAGAAATAGCTTACTGGCACCAATGCATTTCTAGCACACAATATCCATACTAAACAATACTTGTGACATCATGGAAAAGTTGTTAAAAGCTGTGACAAGATTCAAACAGCACACAGACCCAACTTCCTTTCTTTTGAGTCAAGACATGTCAGCTCTCTGAAATGTAATAAGGAAGGTAGCAATTGCACCCCAAACTCTGTGTACTCAGACCTTACAATTTATTTTCCTAAACCTCTCCATAGAAAGACTGGACACAGAAGTAGTCCATACACTGCATATGCTATTTTTATTTAGAGATGCTTTAACTGCCATCTCGTTCAGTTAAGAATCAGTCCAATTTAAATTAAGACAATACAACAAAGTAATTCCAACACTGCACTCACCCTGACAACAAACACTGGGCATTTTACTTTATTAGTAGATGTCCGAACAAATTTTGTTGTCACAGCATTCATAGGGTTGTTCAGCATTCCTATAGGAGGGACCAACTGTAAAAGAAGAAAGAAAAGATTTACTAATGACGTTTCAATCAGAAACTTCAAGAAAAGAACACAGTTTAAACATCCATTTTTGGAAAAGCAAGGTTGTGATTTGCAGGGACATTACCAGAAGTAAGTTGGTAGAAATGTTTCAAAGTCTGCATGCTTTAACAACCCAAACATCCAGAAACAGCATCCTCAAGAGCAGCTTTGCAAACCTCATTGCATTATGAAAGTTCTTATGCACAGAAATTAAAAGCCTGTCCAACCTTAAGGTCCCTTCATGGACATCGATTCCAAATTCCAACAGAACAAAATAACAGAGTGAAGATACCCTTCATAGCTTTAAGGCTTTTTGCAGATACAAAAATAACCTCAGTTGACATGCAGAATCCTTCCTGTTTTCTGGGCAATTTTTACTTGCACAACTTCATCAGCGAATAGGCAAAAGTTACTTACATCATTATAATATCCTGCATCGGGCTGGATCGCCCGCATGTCTCGTTGATCTCTCTGCCATACTCTATTCTGGAAAGAAGAAAACAACTCCTAGTTCATAACAGTGTACTTCATTATCAAATAATAGAAAATAACAAACACGTGGAGATCCTGTTTGGGAAATTCTAAAGCGCTCCAAGGATTTTAGAATGAACTGTGTTAAGACTGGATTCAGGAAAAGGAATATGTGGAATTTATTATTTTAAGAAGAGGAGTCAGGAACGTTTGAAGCATTAATTTCATCAGACTGAAGCAACTCCAGGAAAGCAGCAGTTCTATGTAACAAGGAACATTGCTGTGGTACTCTGGTGCCCAGTGTCAAAGCTTTATATTCAGGACAAGAATTGACACCACGAGCAGCTGTGCTCATGAACTCCCCATGAAATCCACACAGCAGCAGGAGGTACAAAAGGACCCTCTGCAGTGCAAGCATAAAGACAACGCTTTCAAATGGCTGAAACTTAGAGACCAAGAGATAGCAATGTCTTCAATTAGTTAAATTTTGTGAGTTGTCAAACAAAATCTTTTCAAAAACACTTCTCATTAATTTAGAATTAAATTACTTATTTTGGCTTTGTGCCACAGACCCTACTAATTTTGATCTGTGCACATAGTGGAAACAAGTTATAATTCTAGGTAAAATATTCCCAGCAGGCACCACTACAGTTTGCTACAACTTCTTCAGCCAAGAGCAAATGACACATTTTCTTGGTTAGTTTTTTTTTTCCCCCTAGAACCACATTAAATCAGTAGTACTGAAGGCAGCAGATGGAGACCTGATTTTTTTTTTTTTTTTGCATGTTGTTACTGTTTTTATAAACAGAATTTTGAGGGTGCTTATTCCTGCCACAGCAAAAAGGTCCTGGACTTCTAAAATCGTATTTTAGAAAAATTCACTTTTAATAGAATCTCTTTTGGGGCATTCCTAAATCATAAGAATGGGCTTAAAATGTCTGATGTTTGAACAGATCTTAGAAGATAACGGATTAGTTATTAAGAAAACCTAAATGTAAACACCTACAAGCTATAACCATGCACTGGCCATAGCAGGGGGAATTTAATCACATTTTTGCAATGTTGCTCTTGCATCTGCAACAACGCCAGTATTAAGATTTAATTCTATTTCTTCCAGGGTAACATCCAGTACTTTTAGAGTAAATCTTGGATGAGAAAATTGTATTTCCTAAGTAATGCCATCCCATCAGGTGAACTAAAGAACTAGAAATATTTCTTCAATAAAACTTCACATTTAAGTTTTTCTTTATTTCTTAACTGTTATAGAAATGACTTTCAGAGGCCACACTGCAAGCTGAAGAGCCATTTAGTAAAATCATGAGAAAACATTTTTAGTGCCCTGATTATGGATGGGAAGGGGTAAAGTAAAGGTTCATCTTCCATTTTGGGAAATTTCTATTTCAAAACAAAAATAAGAACAACTACATTATTTATAATAATTTTCTTATTAAAAGTCAGAACACTACATGAGATAGTCAACTGCAGGCCAACTTGGAATTTCAAGACAAAAGGCAAAAGTTGGTTTTTACACAAAATACACAATGCATGCAGTTTTACTGCCAATGCTCAACCTCCCTTTTTTATTCACAACATCCCAAATTAACAAGTAATTTTGGTTGAAAGCGCAGCAGTAGACCTCCCAGTAAATTAAAAAATATAATGCCAAATATCGGGAAAGAAAAAAAAATTTGTAAAGGAAATGAGAAAACTCATTAACTGACCTCCAAATATTTGATGACAGAAGGATTGTAGTCTATGGTCTTTCTGTTGACAGCTTTCCTCATGCGCTTGCCGTCGAAGGTGAGCTGCTGCATGGCCTGCTGCTGGGCGAAGTCAGGCCGCTTGTAGAACAGCTGCCGCGGCGCCTGGTGCTGGAAGCGCGGCATGTGGAAGAAGCGCGGCGGGGAACCGATCTCCGTGGCCATGGCTGCGTCCTGACAGGCTGCACAGAGCGAAACACGGAGTGACCACACAACAGCCACGGAAATCCCACCTCAGCATCGCCCCTGAGTGTGTAAGGGGGAGCGACAGCTTCAGAAATGACTGTTTCTAGGTGTGTTATCACACAACGACGAAAATCCCACCTCAGCATCTCCCCTAACTTCAGTGTACAAGGATGGGCGACAGTTTCAGAACTGACTGTTTCTAGGTGTGTTACCAACACTACAATGACAAAAATCCCACCTCAGCATGACCCCTAAGTGTACAAGGATGAGTGACAGACAGCTTCAGAAATTACTGTTTCTGGGTGGGTTATCACACAGTGACAAAAATCCCACCTGGGCATATCCCCTAACTTCAGTGTACAAGGAGTAATAGCTGCAGAAATTATTGTTTCTAGTTGTGTTATCGACACAATAGTGACAAAAATCCCACCTCAGCATCTCCCCTAACTTCAGTGTACAAGGGGGAGTTAACAGCTTCAGAAATTACTTTTTCTAGGTGTGTTATCACACAACAATGACAAAAATTCCACCTTGGCATCTCCCCTAACTTAAGTATACAAGGAGTAACAGCTTCAGAAATTACTGTTTGTAGGCAAGAAAAATTTCCAGATTCCTCTGAATAATTATTATTTTTCCCCTGTGCCACATAACACCGGCATCAAAGCAGGTAAATGTTGGATGGGCAAATACCACCTTTACAGGTAAATACTTTTGTTATATATGAGGAGGAATTCTGCATTGAAATACATCACTACTAAGTTTGCATTACCATCCCTAAATTAAAATGTGTAGGAAAAGAATGTCCTCAGTAAAACAATATAAATGAATGTAAGAAATGGCAAGAGGGTATTTCAGATTCAGTATAAAAAATATTAAACACCATGTCAATCATAGATTAATTTAGCTATTAAAAGAGAAAATGTTTTCAAATGTTGACTCAACATTTTATTCTATGACCTAAAAATAAATTACACTCCTTTCACACTTCTCGTAAATGGACCACAGATCACGTTCTTCCTATAGGTATCTTTTCAACTGACTACAAAAAAAATGAGTTACACATTTAATAAGGTTTAGTAAATTTAACTAAGACTCACTGTCAGTGTTAAGGAAACGTGAGGGGTAGGGAGAAAATTTCAGTGTTCAGAATTTTTCTGACAGAGGGAAATGAGTGTAAAACCTCATTTTTCAGTCTAAGAAATCCTTAAATGGTGAGATCATAGCAACTCCTCCAGAGCTGAAAACCACAATATACACAGTCTTTAAAGTGTATACTAACTTCACACTAAGCACTGACACCAATGAAAGCTCAAACTTCATTCTGAACACTTTCTCCCCCACATCCCAAACTCACTTTGGAAAACATTTTAACCAAAAAAAACTAGCATTGTCATCAAGGGAATTTAAAAACGCCTAGAAACTCTCCTTTGTGCTAAAGGTTGACTGTTTACACAGAAGCAAACTGCATGTAATAAAAAAAAGAGATATCGGATTTTTTTTTAAAAACGACTACATAATCTGCTTGTAAATTAATGAATATACTTTTCTAAGTAGTCAAAACACTTGTATCTTCCATTTGAAAGAGCTGAAGTAATTTCATTGCCAATTTTATAATTTTATCTCGCTTTTTTTGATCCCAGTAGTTCAAAAACATTTCCTTTTTTACATAGTAAAATATAGCTAAGATAGAAATGTTAGATATCTAAGAGACTGTTTAAAAGTAGTGCAATGTTTGATTCTTTTTAAGAGGTTCTTTCTAATCACTAGGAGCAGGTTGCCCTTTAAGTATCAGGCAGTTTGTTGGCACAGAGCAGTGAACAGCTCTGCAAACTCAGGACTTACACTCTCCTTTTCATGCTGACAAAGTGTGACAGTCAGCTACAAAACAAACTACCTACAGCAGCCAGCTCCTTGCTGCACAAACAACTCCCACACTACAGCCATCACAACTATTCTCCCTTCGAGATAAACAAGTGCAAACTAAACCAGCATTTCCTTCAATTGGGTTAAGGAAATTTAACACCTTTGGCAGGTGCAGCATCTTATTAGACCAACTTGGTAAGGAGCAGCTTTCAAAAAAACAAGCCTTCATTTGGGGGCTGGCAGGCTCATTGGCCTGAAAGTTGCCCCCATTCGAGGCATCTATGGGGTCTAATCAGATCCTACATGTGCCTGATTGTCTGCAAACACTCCCCCTACACCAGACCACCCCTGGAACACACAGCTACAACATTCAGGCTGCCTGAAACAAGGTATCCAAACTTTGTCACACAGGAATGACTTCAAGTCTCCCTAACACCATCTCAAATTCTCTTAAAACTTGGCAGGAGATATCAAACTGTTGTAAAGGTTTCAAGTGTTAAATATCAACGGTAAAATTTTATTGTTGGGGGTTTATATCAAAAAAGAGAAAGTGGCTTCTTCAAATGAGCTGAACAAGCTGGCATTGAACATATAAGTCCATTAGGTTTCTTAAATGCAGTTATTCAACAGTTGGAGGAAAAAAAACCCAATAAAAACAATCAAAAAACCCCACAAAAACCAGCACCCCATCACAAGGAGCCTCAGAAACCCAGATGAAATTTCCAATACTACTCTTTCTCAAGTCTGAAGTTTGATACTCCCTTATACCAATCAGTGCTCTAAACCAGAGGAAGAAAATATTTTTTCAAAACCACACATCTATATTCCCTAATAGGCAATGCAAAAATAAATGTCAAGAACTGAGACCAAGAATGCAGAAAAATATCTATGCTGGGGCTTAAAAAAAATTTTTGATCAGCTATATTTGCAAGAAAACATTACATCCCAAAAGTCCCTTTTTAGGGAAACACTGCAAAGCAGCAAGTTAATACTTTATTTTCATGTTCCAGGAAAAAAAAAAATTAGCTGAAGAAATGTTCTGCATTACTATCATTGCTAAGTACAGCATTAAATGTGATATGGATCAATTTAGACTACAATAGTTTTAGATGAGTCCAACCAGCGTCTAGCTTAAATTAGTATAAACAACCTTCACTTAAGGTGCAATCCATATCAGCAAAAAGTAGGACCAAAGGTACAAACATGTTAATTAGTCCTCTTCATGCCCAAAGATCCTTCCACATTAACGATTCTGACAAGACAGTGACACTACAACTACAACAACATGATGGGAGATGACACAGGATCAGAAAAATGAAGAATTTACATTCTGTTCCAATTTTTAAGATCACTGCCTCTTATCACAAAAAGCCTTCTACCTGCATTTACAAACAAGAAAAGTATTGTTTATCCAGCTGCTTAGGACCATTTTATTCTAATAATTCCTTCAAATATTATGTTTTATCCACATAATATCTTCATCATGTCATGTGTACATATGACCAGTATATAATCTGTGAACAGATATGTAAAAAATGTGTGTACATGCACACACACATTACTGCACATACACACACCAAGTGAAGCTTCCAAACAAAGCAGCTTTAGAAAGAAATAGTTTTGGCACACAATTATTACATTAAACATTTTTTGCATTTTGTTCCCCA